TGGGTTCACTCATCACACTAAGTCATTGGTTCTCAATCTTTGCAACTTTAAGCTCTATGGACTTCAGTTCCCAGAATATACTGGCTGGGGAATTCTGGGAGTTGAAGTTTATCTAGCTTGAAGTTGCCATGGTTGAGAAACACCTTTAAGTCAGGAATTTAAAATCTCAGTTTATCTAATAAACTACAGTGTTCGCTGGTTTAGAATCCTTCCTCCTTCCTTCCTTCCTTCCTTCCTTCCTTCCTTCCTTCCTTCCTTCTTCCTTCCTTCCTTCCCTTCTTCCTTCCTTCCTTCCTTCCTGAATTTGAATGGCAAAGGAAGAACATATAGCATCTGCTTTAGGTAGCAAAATGACTTAGGATCAAGGTAAACCCACTCTCTTGTTTCAGCTCCTTATATCTGTCCTAGGGTCCCATTGACAAAAAGCCAGCAATGCTGCAAAACTACTATGAGCGAGTCCATTCAGTTGTTTGACACTGGTTAAGGTGGAAGGAAGCCACTATTTCTCTATCTATGCAATGGGTACCCAAATAAATATGTAGCTTTAGTCCTGGCACAATGAAGAGAAAATGTTGAAACCATGCTTGCCAGTCTGGGGTCCCTTCCTATGGAGCAGGCTACAATTCTCACAATTCCCAGTTAGGACAGCTTGTGAACGTGGTGTTATGTAGTCCAGCTTTTCGAGAGTGGGAAAAGATGCTTCAGTTCTGCCCAAGTTTGTTTGTTGTTTCATACTCCCGATGGGGCTTTGTTCCCAGTGCGCCACTTTCCCCTCTCTCAGAGATCACTACTTACCGCTTGCGAAGTTATTGTCCGTCTTTTACCCCCTTTTTCTGTCTTTCTTTCTTTTTCCCCTTTTCAGCTCTTAAAGCTCCTTTCCGCAACAGGCGTCGTTCAGTTGCTATAGTCAACAGCCGCCCAAGATTGGCGTCTCCAAGAACGAATGAGCATTCTTTACGCTTAACCCTCCCCTCTTACAGAAAGGAGCCAAGAGCATAGAGCGAACTACAAGTTCCAGCATGCTCTGCCTTTAGCATGTCGGTGTGTAAGAGCGAACTGTGCTTATCGGCTTTGTTGGGTCCTGAATCCATGTAAGATTCGGATCACAGGTTGTAGGTGCGAAGGAATGTACCGATGTTGCTTTCCAGTAATCATTTTCCTCTGTTCTGTTGCCAGCCCTCGATATAGGGTTGTTGTTTTTTTTAAAGTGGTATTTCCTGATTTTGTAATTCTTTTGGGGAAAAATCTGTCTTCAGATTATGGCTGACTTTTTCCTTTAAACCGATCTAATCACTTTAATAAATTAAGTACATTTTGGATCTATTTTGGCTTCATTTGTGGAGAAACAGTCAAAGATAGCACAGTACAGTAGATCTTTCTCAGTACTAAAAGGAGATTTCATTAGAGACTCACAAATTGCTATGCATACAGTACAGCCACAAAAGATCAATGACAAATTTATTTTATTTATTTTATTTCGTCAAGCATGTATTAGATAACATACATAAGTATAAACATAACTCATGAGATGAATACAAATAAAAGAGAACATTAGGACAGGGACCGTATTTTTTCTAAAGATTGGCAAATTTTCTTAAAAGTTTCTTAACAGTGCAATAGGTGGTCTTTGTATAACTTCAGTAAATTTTAGGATACTTTTCTTATGACATTTAATAGCCATACTTAAAATTCATGGCCCTTATTAACAAGATGACTATTGTGATGCTAATGAAGCTGTTTTCTAAATCCTTTCATAATGTTTGAGTGTCTGTTGTAAAAATTGCTTTTCTGTTCAATTAGCACTTGAAACAATCTATATTTAAAAGACATCCAAGACTAAATTACACAATGTCAGAAATGGATGCTGGGAAATGGGAAATTGAAGTGCCAAGATATCTCAAGAGCTCTTTTGGAGAACACTGGGTTTATTTTATTGATTGATTAATCAAATTATATAACCAAGAAGTGACTGGGCTCCCTATCATTAATTACCTATCATCCCTGAGAAGGAAATTTCAACAAGGAGTTTTCCACTAATCCCAATTTAGCCAGTTTAGCAATTGGTATATGCAACTGGGTTCCAAATTACATTCAGATTCATATGTGACGAAACAGTTTTTCAGAAATCCTAGTCTTAAAATATTTAGAAATAACTAGTAAGAATTAGAACTCTCAATTGGATTTAGAAAAAAATGGAAAAACTAGTGTAACTTTAAGATCTACATGGTGAAATCAGAGTACATAATATATGGCTTGTAATTCACAGATCTTGCAATAACTATAGTTTTCAAGTGTAAGATTATGTTGAGTAATCTGCTAAATAAAATAGACAAATGCTATCATTTGAACGCGCAGAAGCTATAGCAAATCTAACAGCATCCCCAGTCTGCACAGTTGATCGCACAACAGAGTGGAAGGAGATGGGCAGCACATCAATCAATCAATCCCAATCCAAACAGATTATATGTCCAGTTCTCGGTTAGGTTGCTGATGACTTATTGGACCATTGCTCTATTTGAAGTGAATCTTTGTGCAATTTTTAACTCTGCCAGGATTCCAGATTGAACATTTTTATAGGCTTTTTGGCACAGATATGGGTTTGGTTTAATGTGATAATCCCAAGAAAATAATAGTTATTTAAATATAATGTGTCTTTCATTATCATTCAATAACCATTGTGAAGTCTAGCTCCAAAGATCTGAAATAAAATAAAATTTCTTGGAATTATATGGAACTTTGTGTGCACCGTGAGCCAAGCGTTCAATTCCTAAAGTGCAATATGAGAAAGTTAAATAGTCCCAAAAGCCATCTATTTTGCCTGAAGAATTCCATTTTCATAACTTGTATTTTCATTTGAGTATGGGAATTATAATCCAGGACAGGACAGGAAGAAGTCAGGTCTGTTGGTTAACCTTATTCACTTTGCATTTCTCTGATTTGTCTCTTTGTGATATTTCTGAATCCATAGAAGAGCTCAGAAGCTCAATGGCTCATTGGGCATTTCAGGAAGACGAAACTCCTCAATATTTTTGAACAGGCTTCTACGGTACAATGGGGAATTCTTTTCAGGTATGATGTGTCTTGGAGTTACAAGTCCAGATTGGGTACAGCTTCTTTAAAATAACCCTAGGATTTATATGACCTTAACCATCTTGATAGAGTATACACAATATTTTAGTATGTTTTTATTAAATCTGGTATGGCACTGATGCTTTTTATCGATTTATGTCATGTTCATTAGTTTCTTGAAAGCGTACTCCTTTGTTGTAGATTGTGTGGGTCTACTAACACCAAGCTATAGAGCAGAAAACCCATAAACACCAGGGGCAAATTTCAGATGGGTACTAGTAAGGCTAACCAACCAGGGTTAGTAGAATGTTTAATAACAAGTCACTTTAATCCAGTATTCCGCACTCAGCGTGTAGCCCTCAATAGAACTGTATCTACATGGAGGGAAGTATGCAGTGGGGTACCCCATGGCTCTGTTTTAGGCCCAGTACTCTTCAACATCTTCAATGATTTGGACGAGGGGACAGATGGGGAACTCATCAAATTTGCAGACAACACCAAGCTAGCAGGAATAGCCAACACTTCAGAAGATAGGCTTAAGATACAGAAGGATCTTGACAGACTTGAACATTGGGCGCTATCTAACAAAATGAAATTCAATGGTGAAAAAAGTAAGGTTCTACATTTAGGCAAGAAAAACAAAATGCACAGGTACAGCATATGTGGTACCTTGTTCAATAGTAGTAACCGTGAGAGGGATCTTGGAGTCCTAGTGGACAATCACTTAAATATGAGCCAGCAGTGTGCTGCAGCTGCCAAAAAAGCCAACACAGTTGTAGGCTGCATAAACAGAGGGATAGAATCAAGATCACATGAAATGTTAATACCACTTTATAATGCCCTGGTAAGGCCACAAAACTGGAATACTGATTCCAGTTTTGGTCGCTATGATTTAAAAAAGATGTTGAGACTCTAGAAGAATGCAAAGAAGAGCAACAAAGATGATTAGGGGATTGGACGCTAAAACATATAAAGAACAGTCACTGGAACTGGGTATGTCTAGTCTGATGAAAAGAAGGACTAGGGGTGACATGATAGCAGTGTTCCAATATCTCAGAGGCTGCCACAAAGAAGAGGGAGTCAAGGTGTTCTCCAAAGCACCTGAGGGCAGGACAAGAAACAATAGGTGGAAACTAATCAAGGACAGAAGCAACTTAGAACTAAGGAGAAATTTCCCGATAGAACAATTAATCAGTGGAACAGCTTGCCTCCAGAAGTTGTGAATGCTCCAACACTGGAAGTTTTTAAGAAGATGTTGGATAATCATTTGTCTGAAGTGATGTAGGATATCCTGCCTAAGCACTTCAGGTTGGACTTGAAGACCTCCAAGGTCCCTTCCAACTCTGTTATTCTATTCCTGTGGTGGTAAACCTATGGCACGCATGCCAGAGGTGGTACGCAGAACCCTCTCTGTGGGCCCAAGTGCCGTCGCCCCAGCTCTGTTTCGGGTCTCTGTCGTGCTTGTGGGGGGGGCGCCCACACACATGCGCCCACACCTTGCAGTTTGGGCACGCACATATATTTTGGACATTCGGTGCCTAAAAGGTTCACCATCATCCTATCCTATCCTATCCTATCCTATCCTATCCTATCCTATCCTATCCTATCCTATTGCCATTTACAGGCAGGGGCTGTTTTTCAATGCATTACAGCTACATTCAAAATCTGGTAAATCAGGTCTTCTTCTGGATCTCTGCCCCCGAGTCCTTTTTCTGGAGACACCATCCTTAATAGCTCAGGCCGCTCCAGACCATGACTCTGGTCTGGAGAGAGGAAAAGGCAGCTTGCGAAGCGATCGATTTAGCAGAATTGGAGCGATGGAAATCAGATGCCGCCTTCTCCCCAAACAACCCGTCAGGCCTGCTGCGGTTTGCGCCCGGGCGGGGCGGCTGCCTGGCTTCGGATCGCATTGGCTTTGGGCGAGGAGGAGGAGGAGGAGGAGGCTGACGAAGCGGGCGGCAGAAGCTGTCCTCGGTCACGTGGCGCCGGCGCAGAGGAGCAGCTTCTCCCTCCTGCAATCTCCGACTGCTGCTCATCGCCCGGCTTCTGGGGATGCTCCCCAGGCACGGCTCTGGCAGCGGAGTCGGGCCGAAGCCGCCACGTCCTGCGTCGCCTCGCCTTTGCTTTGTCGCGAGGCTCAGGTGACTCTTCTGCCTGGCGGCGATGTAAGGCAACCCCGGCGCTCGCTCGCTTCGAGAAACCAGCTTCACCTGCCGGGGCTGAAATAGGACTTTAAAAATAAAAGCCCCTCCCCTCCCCGGTTCTAGGCGGGGGGGTTCAAGGCACTCAAGGGACGCCCTGGCACCAGCGGTGCCACTTTCTTTTGGAAAGGTGAGTCTGGGGTCGGCGCGCGCTTATGTCCTTCCTTTGGATGGTGGGAGGAAGAGGCTTCCTGAGCAGAGAGAGACAGGAGGGTGAAAATGGGCTGCCTCTGGTTGGATCCGATCGCGCTTCTGAATTATGGAACTAGGCCAGGGAGAGGGTCCAGCCGTGTTTTTAAGACAGACCCTTCGCGGGATGGAGCTTGCTTTTCTTTGGTGCCCCGAGAACCTTTCCACGAAGGATTTATAAAGGACGAAGCGGTAAAATTCCAGTACTGAGAGCTGTGGCTGGAAGGAGGAATATTTAATTTAATTTTTCTAAGCCTTTTTACTGGACTAAAAAGCTCTTCTCCCTCTTAATTGGGGGATTTTTGGAGTATTTTAAAAATAATAATTATTATTTAATATCACATTTGTTCGTTTTTCTCAAAAGGGATGCTTCTGTACTTGGGACAAACTCTACATTTGCATCCCCCCTTCTGCTGCTAATGAAGGGAATGATTTTTATAAAATTGCATATATTGAAATATATGCATATGCCATCTAAACATGAAGGTGGCATCCTTTTTTCCTTCAAACTTATAGTTTCACTAGAATACCAATGGGTATAGAAGTGATCAATTAACTGTTAAAACCTAATTTAATTAATCAGTATAACCCTATGTTGACTTAATGGAAATATTCATTATTCTAATTAAGGTTAAGTTCTTAGATAGGTGGGCATTGTTTTAGATTCCTCCTTAGTTAAATTGACATTTTAAAAAGTTTCTTCAATTGGAAGACTTCTGGATTGTGATAAAATCACAATCCTTCCTTCCCATTCAAATGAAAAGTTATATGAATGTATTGCTCTCTTATGCTTTATTGTGGAGGTAATTTTAAATCTATATGCCCTTCCTTTGTACAGTAGATTTCTTTTTAGATAATTGGTGTTAAGTTTCTTCAACTGGACAACTTAGAGGAGAGTTCGTAAATTTAAAAAAACTCTGGTTGATGCTAAAATATGTTCCTTCCCATTCAGATTAAAACTGTTATGGAGTTATTGTTGCCTTATGTTATATTGTAGAGGTAATGTTAATTCTGTATGTCCTTTCTTTAAAATCATTTTAATGAATGGCACTATGTTATTGGTTATGCAGATGAATCATGGCTATTTATCATTCCCACAAGCATGATCACGCTGCATATCTACAAAAACAAAAACCCCACATCTTTCTGGAGGCTATTTTTTTATTTGAAGGATATTTGAATAATTTTCAAAATTGTGGAAAAAGCTAAAATGCTTGGATATCTAAGTGAATGAACAAAAGCTTTATAGAACTTTGTTTTTAACTTCAACTGAGTATGCAAGGTTAATCATAACTCCTTTTTCAAATTCAACTGGCTTTTTAATTTTAGCTTGTAGAACAGTTCAGTTCCTTGAAGTGGATTTTAGTTACAGGGTGTGGTATAATCCATCAGTGGCTAGAATAATTGAGACTCTGTGTCAGAAATTTAGAGTCTGCTTCTGTGAGACACTTGTATAGTAGTGTTGACAAACCATAGATGCCCAGCTAAATCTACCACGCTTATTTATTTTATAAAGCTACTCTGAACTTCCTAAATACAAACCTAATAAATATGGAAAATATACTAATTGTATTGAATTGAAAAATCTGGCTAACTAAATCAAAAGTTTCAACAAGTGGTAGGACCTTGTCTAGTTGAACAGTGGAGCAGGGACTACTTGGTACTTAGCACTTGGATGGAAGTCTGTGAAGAATCTCATGTATAGACTAGCTTTGAAAAATCCTATAAGGCAGTGGCAAAATCATTATCAGATTGTAGCCAAAAAAAAAAACCCAAAGCCTTATGTTGTCATCAGGAATAAAATTCAACTCAAGGATATGATTACATTACTGGCTTCCTGTTCTTCAAAGATTTTTCTGAATTCTGGTCACTTTCAAATGATGATACTAAAAATGGATTCTGGGATTTTATATTCACTAATTAACTCTATGCATACAGATACTTCCTCTGGCTCTGATTTGACAATTTAAGGGTAAATCAATAAAGAACAAGAATGTTTAGCATTATATTTGATAAGTGGACTGCAACATTTATATAAGTAATTTGGGATCAGGCCCAGTTTTGCATGGGTTTTATGTACCTTGTGAGATTGTGAGCATCCCTGTTGGGCTAGCAGTATTATAGAATCGATATGATATTAATAAGCCTATAGGAATAGGCAGTCATGTGGCACAAATATGATAGTTCCCACAAAATAATTTAATATATGAAAATATTTTTATACGTCTTTAGAATAAGCAGAAAATCAGTTCTTGTTTAAATGCCAGTGTCAAATGAGATAACTTATAATGATTTTCCTCCCATTTATCTGCATATACTGTATCAACATTTATGTTGATTGCTTATTTAGTATCCTATGACTATCACTAAGTGTTGTATCTTATGATTTATGATGAATGTATTTTTATGATTCATCATAAAAATAAAAAGTCATGACTATGATCATGATTTATCATTAAAGCTTTTATGTACAATGAGAGCTTATGCACTGAAGACAAATTCCTTGTGTGTTCAATCACACTTGGCCAATAAAATATTCTATTCTATTCTATTCTATTCTATTCTATTCTAGTCTAGTCTAGTCTAGTCTAGTCTAGTCTAGTCTAGTCTAGTCTATATAATTGATATAAAAATTTCTGACATGGATATGTTTTGTATTTTTGCACATCTACTGATGTGATATTGTGGGTTGGTGCTTTTTGAGAGAAAAAGAGAGGAATTGAGGAATCTGCCACATATACTATAGATCCTGGACCAGGGAAGAGGAGGGAAGGGAAGGGAAAGAGAAGGGAAGAGAGCTACTGCTTTATAGATTAGCTTCTTTGTCTTTTATATGCATAGGAATCTGTTCTCCAAATATTGCTTCTTTTGTTTTTCATAGCAATACCAAAAGTGCAATTATATTTCTTGAGCACATACAGTCCTCAAGAGTAAATTCATTGAATTTAGTTAACCTGGTTTTCTGGTATCTTCTGTATTGAAGATGCTGATGATACCTTGTCATCATTCTCACAATGGATCTGCTTCCTACTTATTGTCTTTCTACCGAGACATGAATGGAAGAAAACACAATTTTTCAGATGAGGGATCTTCCTCTGAGTACACTTACTTAGGAATGGACCTGCACCTGCTTTTAATGTTTGTCTTCTATCAAAAACCTGTGATATATTAAGGCCAATGTTGCAAATACAGCACTAAATAATTCACATGCCTTCTGTGAAGGAGAGGGTCAATAGAACTAGAAGGAAGTTCAAGCAGATTCTGTGATATTTGTATTCTAAGAGCAAACAGAATGTATTGTAATTTCTAGGGTTCCTAATACTAAAAAGCCCAGGAAGTTGTTTATGGAAGCTTCCCAGTGTGCTAAAGTTTCTTGGCTCACAGTATTTCAAGAAGTTGGATTTAAAAATTGGTTTGTTCTATGGCTTTTCTCTGAAAGGGTGATCTGTATGAGAGTAAGAAAGAACACACCATTATTCATTTATTGGACTTCTAGACCATTCAGAAACCGTGATTCTCAGCCATTTCATGATGTTGCAGAAATCAAGCAAGAGCCAAGGATGAATGTGCATGTATGAGAGAGGGGAATTTTTTTTTAAAAAGAATTTTTTTGAGAACTAACTCTTGAAACAATATCCAACTGTAAAATCTAAACAGGAAAACTGATATACAAAATAATGTGTTTATGGAAAGAACTTCCTTATGTTTGGTTCCAAAAATAGTGCTTTCTATGATAGGAACGTGAGAACTGTGGGAGAACTCATTTTTCTTCACTGTTAATATCTTTTTCACTGCTATGATTAGCTGATAAAATAACATCGGCTGGCTATAATTTGGCATGGAAGGTGCTGTAATACTTGTAGTTCAGAGTTGAAACTCTCATTATTAAAGGAGACAATCACACCTTGAGTTTTAGATATGCTCACAAACACATGTATAGCATCTTTGGTTAATCATTCCAATATTGCTAATGTTTTTCTGTTCCAGCAATGGAAAATCCTGAAGTGCTTGTAGGCAGCTGCAGTACTCAGGATGATGAAAACTTATACAATGTCAAGCATCATTCATCAATGTGCCAGCTTCTGGAAGATCAGTTGAGAAGGAAACTTAAATTTTTCTTTATGAATCCCTGTGAAAAATTCTGGGCCCGAGGAAGGAAACCGTGGAAGCTTGTCATACAAATTCTGAAAATAGCCATGGTTACTATCCAGGTGAGGTACACAGCTGCGATACAATTTTTTTTTTAACTCACACATTTTTGGTTATTGCAATACAAATTCAAGAAGTTATAACCAGTTAAGTGGCAACACCTGATTTACTGATGCTTTGAGAATTGTGTTTTCAGAACCATCTGTATAGTATTTGAAACTTTCAGACCTTAATACAGGTAGTCCTCAACTTATAACCATTTCTTTACCAACTGTCTGAAATTACGATGGCATGGTCATGTGATTAGAATTTGGCAACCAGCATATACTAATGATGGTTCAGCATCCTAGAGAAATGTGATCAGCATTTGCAATCTTCCCAGCTGGTTTCCAACAAGCAAAGTCAATGGGGAAAGCTGGATTTGTTTAGCAATCACATAATTAAATTAATAACCAATGATTCATTTAACAACCGTGTCCCCCCTAAAAAAAGATTATAAAATCAGGTACAATTCATGTAATAATTGCCTTGCTTAGCAACAGAAATTCTGGTCACAATTGTGATCGTAAGTCGAGGACCATCTGTAAATATTGAAATGACCTCAGTGTTCTTGCATCCTGAATACTTTGGAGGAAAATATTTTTGTCAGGTATTTAGTATTGACAAGTTTAATAATATTGTATGTATCCTCATCATATGTTCTCCATCTGTGAGTGCCAACTAACATAGCCATCTTGTTTAGGAATTAAAGGATTTTTAGTTCAAATATCTGATGGGTGCTAAATTGGGGTAATGGACAGAATGGGCCATTAGTCAAGTGGAGACAATGAACAATATCAAGATTACAGCTGCAGTTTTGTTTCATTTCATTTCATTATTATATGTGTCAGTCTTCAACCTTCTAGTAAATGCTCATTGCTCATCAACTATTGTTTTTGTGTGTGTTCAGAATACAGTATAAGAATGTCCAATATGAACTATACTAATATTATCCAATGTTTTTATTCAGCAAACCATATCCAAGATCAAAAAAATAATACAGTTGTAATATTGAACGGGGCTAAATTATAAAGGTAACAAGAATATAATTATTATGGTACATAAATTTAGGAGAAGGTTTGATCACTGAATGAAAATAAAATTTGTAAAATAGGAGGGATGCTACCCAGCTCTCCTTTTCTACATGCTCAGTTACTGATTTATTTACAAGGTCCCTTTCATACTCCCAGAGTAAGATGAATCTACCAAAGGAAGGAGTAGGGAACGGTGGAAGTGATAGAACCAACTAAGAATGCTCCAAGAGCTATAAAAATTAATGTACTTGTGGTCAGAATGAACTTATTGAGTATTTTAGCTGAAGGATTCCCTTTCTGTTGCAACTGATACTAAGTTCATACTACATATGAGCTCCACATTTAATGACCTGGGTTGTAATTATCAATACGTGACCAATATTTGTGGAGAAAAGTTTACATTACAGACTGCTAATATTTAAATTTTTTGGGGGGGGGATATTTTCAGCTTGTAGTTTTTGGGCTAAGCAATCAAATGGTGGTTGCATTTAAAGAAGAAAACACAATATCCTTTAAGCATCTATTCCTGAAAGGTTATACGGACAGCATGGATGACACCTATGCGGTCTACACGCAAACCGAGGTCTATGACCAGGTTTCCTTCACAATAAACCAGGTAAATTTTTATATGTATATATAAAAAGCATCCTTATATTGTATAAAAGTAAAATTATACACTGAATTTAAACTAAGCTTGAAAAAAGCCAAGTCAGTATATGTGAACAGATATGAACAGAAGGAAAATCAGATTGGTTTCCTGTACCGTATAACTTACATTGGCTCTAATGAGTCAAGAGATGGAGACCTTTTAATTTCATGATAGCCTCATGAGATAAATGTGACATGGCCAATTAGCCCATAAAAATGAGGTTTTCTGTAATTGAATCCATTTCACTGAGTTTTATTTGAACCTTAGTCTTTATAATTCCATTCATAAGGTCAATAAATCTGAAAAGCAGAATGTTCCATCACAGACATTCTCTTGCCTCTCTAATTAGCTCAGTTTTAATTATCAGACAGCTCCATTAACTGGTTGTCCCTTGTCGCTTAGTTCTTACAGCTGCGTACTATTTCTGTTGGAAATCATGCCTACGAAAAGAAAGGAGCTGAAGAGACGCCCATGGCAATATGTCAGTACTTCTACAAGAGAGGAATTATCAGCCCTGGAAATGACACTTTCGATATTGACCCAGAAATTGAAACTGGTGATATACTGAAATACTCAAATCAGATAGATTGTTTCTGTGTGTGACAGAGAAAGGAGAATGAGAGAGAGAGAGAGAGAGAGAGAGAGAGAGAGAGAGAGAGAGAGAGAAGAAGGGCGAAAGAGAGGTCAGAAAGAGAGACAACTTGAGGAAAGTCATAGTGTTTAAAAGCAAATACATAGTAATTTCCAGTAACATTACAGTATAATTAATAGACACTTCAGATATTTTATTAGACACACTGTACAGGAAGAAACTCAAGTATCGCAGATAGTCCTCATTTACCAATTGCTTCATTCAGCAACAGTTCAGAGTTATGACAACAGTGAAAAGGTATATTTAAGACCAATCCCCGAACTTGTAGCTGTTGCAGCATCCCTGCGGTCACACAATCACAATTCGGGTGCTTTGCAATTGGCGTGTATTTATAATACCGTAGACACAGCGTCCCATCATCATGTGATTGACATTTGTGACCTTCGCAGCTGGCTTCCAACAAGCAGAATCATTGTGGAAAATGGCAGGAAGTCACAAGTCGTGGTCACATGACATTTCGCTTAACAACTTGAGGTGATTTGGTTAATGACCTCAGTGGAACTGACATCCTGAGCATGGCACTGTCACGTGATGTTTCACTTCATGACTATATCACTTAGCAAGTGTGGTTGGTAAGTGAGGACTACCTGTTCATTGCAGTCTTGTTTAAGTCATTATGAAAACTGCAGTAGTGATGTGAGTGCTTCACTTAATTCCTTGTCCCATGTCACTCAAACAATGTCAGCTTCAGTCAGACCTAATATGTTCCATACAGCTGTACATGGTTTATATCTATGGAGATTCTCAGTCATCCAGGTCATGGTTGTCCCGAAAGTGCTTTTTCAAGAAGCAACTGGACTTTCTAGAAAGTTGCCTCTTGAAAAAGCATTTTTGGGGTGTACGTGGTTTAGTTTCCAAGTGGCCTGATACTCTGCTGATAAAAATTGCTGACTCGTAGGCCAGTGTGATGACTCTATTGTAATTGTATCTGAAGCAGGTTCTTCATACCGGTAATTATTGAACAGAGTTAAGGGTGCATCTACTTGCAAGATACTGTAGTATAATCAAAACCGAAACAGATTGCCATCCCTCTTCCACAAAAATGTCTTGCCAACTCAACATTGCAGACATCAGTTGTGTAATCTCAACACTAATTGGTGATTCAGGTTCAGGGTGAGATTTACCATTAGGCAAAGTGAAACAGTCAGTCAGACCGCAGACATGTGACAGAAAGCATTAGTAACCTGTTGGATGACATAAATGTTTGCTGTGTGGATTATTTTGCGCTCTTACTCTTTTGCCCTGAAGTATTGAAGAAAACATCACCTTACGATACATTTACAAAGCCAGTTAGCTTATGTTCCTGACCTGGGCAGGGTGCCTTTCATGTTCATGTTCTTTAGGCAAATACCAAAATAACTTGGCTGACTCTGCCCTGTCTTTCAGACTGGACCTCTGAAACTTTGTGAATAAACTTAAGTGGTCAGTCTTAACTGTTCAACATTAATTTTGATTACTGAACGTATATAATTATTGGTAGTGTCTGTTATGGTAGTTCAGAAGCATTGTGACTTCCTTTTGGAGTTTGGAAATAGTGACATAAATAATAATCTCTTAGTGAACTAATGTAGTAAATACTGTATATATGCACAACATTTCCGAACAATACTGAAGGCTGAATTCTGTAAGGACGTCTTAGCTCAAACTTATTGTGTTTGAAAGATATTAAAGGACTGTTGAAAGATTGAGGGTCTTTTCTTGATATATGTGTATGCAATTACGATTACATTATAATTATAAGGACTTTTTGAATTACTGTTTCTTCATTTTATTTAGATGTAAGTAATTTATAACTGCGCGGAAATATCGTTCTATAGACATAAATAGAAGATATTCTCTGTAACCATAGGAATAATATTGTAATTCTACACTTATTTGGTATTAGGGTACTGATCTGTGGATCAAGTATAAAATTTCCTTTTTGAATTTATTTTTAAGTAGCAGATATTTCCAGGGATTCTTTATCAAATAAGAATTTCCACAAGGCAGAAGTTCAGTAAATGTATACATTAAATCAATGAAAAAACATAGCTGCTTTTTTCTTGCAAGTATAAAGAAAGATTTTACTTCTCATATTATTTAGATAAGACTACTAATGACCAGACTGGATTTAATTTCCTTATTACTGATTTTCTGTCTTCTTCAGCTTATGAAATGTCAAGTATTTTCTATATAAACCATCTGTCTTCCCACAGAGTGTCTTTATGTGGAGCCAATCCTACCTCTGGAAAATGGGACACTGAGGAAGACTCCTTTCAATTTCACTTTAGACTTCCATAGGTGAGGAGAAATAAAAGTTGTTGATATTCTTGCAGATTTTTGGTAATTCTGAAATAAAGCTCCAGCCTCTATTCTAGACTTGTGACTCTGACACTCGTGTTCAAACTGAAGGCCATTAATCTCCAGACCATTCGACAACATGAACTCCCAGACTGCTATGATTTCACACTAACAGTAAGTAAAAACCTAGAGTCCTTAGAACTTTCTGAGCCGGTTGTTTATTTGCAGATAAACTAGGTAGCATCATGAGTAGAAAAGCAAGTCAAAAAAAAAAAGTTTGAACTCCTGATGAAGACTTGTAATTAGCCTTTTTCTGAAGGGCAGGTTTGGATGGGAGAAATGGGCCTAGATTGTGTCAACTTCTTCTTAAAGTAGACTGTTGCAGTATATGTATTAGCAACTTAGGAGAAGCAGAGAATGAAGTAAAACTATGAAGCTGAATCTACATCAAGAGGCAGGCACCAGTGATTTAGTGCTACCAGAAAATTGCCTGCCCACAGCTGCAAATACCGATTCAGTAATTCACCTTTTCTCCTTTTAGTAAGTTCAAAACATATTTCTGAATAGTTAGCTTTTTGAATTGTATTAAGAATAATATTAATACTTTTGCTTATGTATGTAACTATATTCTAATTGTGCATTTTAAAATTTGTTTCTATTTCTTTTTTGTTGATGGTAGCTGATGGCTATCTTGAATACTCCTCAGATGGAAAAGTGCAATAAAACCCTAATAGTGATAAGAATAGCAATATTTCTAAAACAATACTAAAAAGATGGAGAAATTGGGTTATGTTCTCTCATAGTTTGTTATTTTTTGTTCCAGAGTTATTCAAATATAGTCTTCCTTCATTTTATTTCTCTGTCTTATTTTTAAACTGCTTAGATTTTGGAAAGAATGGTACATTGACAGAACTAAATGCATAGGCAAAAAACCCCAAAACCCTAAGCATTTTCTGTTTTTTACAGGACATGCTTTTTTATATGCCACCACTGCTTCAAAGTTATACTTCAAGATAACTATAAGTCTTTATGGCTTCTTTGAGAAGAAGAATAGATAGATGAATGGATGGATTTTGCTTTTGCTTTTATTTCCTAAGCATTTGGCACAAACTGTTCAGATTTTTTAATTTGCTAGATGGATAATTCTCAAATTCAACCTATCTGAATTAGTGAGTGATAGAAGTCTTTAGAAGTAATAATAATATCTTTTCTACCTCCATAATATCTACAGATAGTCTTTGATAACAAAGCTCATAGTGGAAGAATTAAAATAAGCCTAGACAATGATATTGCCATCAAGGAATGTAAAGACTGGCATGTTTCTGGATCGAGTAAGTTTTTTTAAAAAAATCATAGTTTTGTTATTATTTAGCACTTAGTGGTTTTATTGAAGGTCTTGTGATGCATGAAGTTAAATATAGTATTTACTATAATCTGCAGTAACTGTATTTTTTAAAGTGTGTGGGTCAACTGGGCACACAATTTGAATATGAGTGTGTTACATCATTTCATTTTTTGCTATAGTCCTTAAAAAGTCTTTCTATATGATTAATATTTACAGTATATTAGAAGGGAATTCCCCACAATGGGAAATTTGCCCCAAATGCAAATAACTAACTTGAGAGAGGAGGAGTTTTCTTTAGACTACCGAAAGGTGTGAAGCATTCATTCTTTTTGATGACTCTGAATCCTTTAATTATCCACCTCTCCCTTTTTCAATGACATGTATTGAAAGATTAAGTAAGATGAAGGCCTCTTCTCCATTATTAGCACTCTCTCAAGGCAATTTCACGAAGAAAATTCCCCTACAGACACAAAAGAGTATGTGTCCTATCAGAGTATCAGGTTAACAATTACACATAGACAAGTAAATCAATCTTTTTTCCCCCAGTACAGAAGAATACCCACTACATGATGATCTTTGATGGTTTTGTCATACTGACATGTCTTGCATCACTGATTCTCTGCACACGATCTGTAATTAAAGGAATTCATCTACAAAGGGTAAGCTTATGTTTGTCAGTATCTCTTAATAAATGTAATTGCAGCTTCTCAACAGCAATTTCTCTTTTCTTGCCCACTCACATATCCTAGGAATTTGTGACTTTTTTCCAACATCACTATAAGAAAGAAGTATCTTTCTCTGATCAGATGGAATTTGTCAACGGATGGTATATCATGATCATCGTTAGTGACCTTCTTACCATAGTTGGTTCTACATTAAAGATGGAGATACAAGCTAAGGTAAGTGACTTGAATGCTGATTAGATGACCTGAGTTCCAGTTTTGGAAGTCCCAATTGAAATTTTATTGGCCAATCTGAATTTCTTATTTTCATAGTTCAGTTGAGTCTTCAATTGGGGGAAATGGTCAGATTGAGAAAACTGCTGCTCCACAGAAAGGACTTTTCTAGCTGTATATTTTGCCTAACCATGGTAATTTTATTATAAATTAGGAATGAGCAGTATGTGTGCATATCATCAAAAGTCTATTAATTTGTTGTGCAGCTCACTTGTGCTCTCTGTTCACCAGGAAACCGCTCTATCATTTTTTATTCCAATTTTTTAATGTCATAAAACAGCGATGGCTAACTTTTTTGCCATCCACACACCCGTACTCATAATGCAATGTGCGTGTGACCCCTCCGCACCCGACTTCCGCACATGCACACACAACCCCAGTGCATGCACAAGACTCCCCCGTCCCCCGTGCATACACGTGTGACCCCCCCTGCATGTGCCCTGCCCCCCTTCAACTATTTTTGGCTTCCAGGTTGGTGCAGGAGGCCTTCCAGGCCCAAAACGGGTACATGGTGCCCCATTTTGGGCCTGGAAGGCCTCCTGCACCAACCTGGAAGCCAAAATGGAGTGCAGGGGTGCCGCACAAGGCCCCAAAATGCAGTTCGAGTGCCCCCGCACATGCACCATGCGCATGCGCGTCCCCCATATGTGCCCCACCCCCACGCATGCGCGACAGAGACCTGACAACCAGCTAGCCAGCAGGAGGCACACACACATATGCGCAGTGGAGCTGGGCTGGGGCGACGGCTGCCGTGCCCGCAGAGAGGGCTCTGCATGCCACCTTCCAAGAATGGTCTTGTCTATCTGTTAATCCAGCAAAAATATTTATTTATATGCCAGCCATCTCAGTGTCAAAAGTCAAGAAAATACAGTGTTCCCAAGTATTAAAATGAATATGAAAGGGTTTTTTTTTCTGGGCACCCCACCTGAAATTCACTCAGTGTAACTTATTGAACATCATCTTAATCTTCATATAGAGTCTGACAAGCTATGACATCTGCAGTATCCTCTTAGGAACTTCCACCATGCTTGTGTGGCTTGGAGTGATCCGCTACCTCAGCTTCTTTCAGAAATATAATGTAAGGATCTTCTGGAACCTTCCTGCCCTTGGTATTTATTTCTGTTATTATCTGGCAGTACTGAATACCTTTGGAAAGTCTAATGAGTATCTCTGGGTTTTTGTTTCGGCCTTGTTTTTCAGCTGCTTATTTTGACCCTCCGTGCAGCATTGCCTAATGTCATTCGATTTTGCTGCTGTGCGGCTATGATTTATCTGGGTTATTGCTTCTGTGGCTGGATTGTGCTGGGCCCATATCATGCTAAGGTACTGTCATTGGGATGTTTGTCATCTAATTTTGTAGTTATATAACTAGACATTCTCACCAGAATATGGAGTTCTCATGTATAAGTATATATTCTCTATTATCTGAGGCATTGATGCAAACATTAATAAAATATGGTAATATCCTGGGTTTTTCAAGGGCTGGTATTGAGTAAAACATGTAACATTTATTTGCAGTTTACTGTATTTGGCCAGTATTTTTTAAACAACTTGAGCAAAAATGGAAATAATTTTCTTTTCTTTTGTCTGTTTGTTCTCTTCTAGTTCCATACCTTGAATATGGTTTCTGAATGTCTTTTCTCTTTGATAAATGGAGATGACATGTTTGCTACTTTTGCAAAAATGCAACAGAAAAGCTACCTGGTGTGGCTGTTCAGTCGGATTTACCTCTACTCTTTCATTAGCCTCTTTATCTACATGGTCCTGAGTCTCTTCATTGCCCTAATTACAGACACGTATGAAACAGTGAAGGTACATAGACATTTACTATAGGATGTTATGTTTAATCTTTTAAATGTGAATTTTCCAAAGTTCTGAAATGGTTTTCTGAATATGAAATGATTTTGTTCATTTCATTAGTCTTCTGTACATACAGAGATATTCTATCTACACCTTTGCAAGAATTCAGCATAGCATCATGACATCATCATACAAACGACACAGAGCTCTGATAAGTTCATATTTACTGCAAGTAAGCAAGAAAGGACCATTTGCATGATGACATCATGATGCGGGGTCATCATTTATTCCACGGGTATCAAACTCACAGTGTCGCGTTGCTGTCACATGACGTATCGTGACATTTTTCCCCTTTGCGGAGCTGGGGTGGGCGTGGCCTCCACATGATGCATCCAACCAACAGACCGCCAGTTTGACACCCCTGATTCATTCCATATCTGTAGTGATAAACAAGTTTTTGTGTTTAAATTTTGTTTGTTAGCATGGTGGGACTGGTTCTAAAGAACAACCAAGACTGAGGTTTAAGGCTGTAACTTATTGCTTAATTTCCCAACTCTACTTTAATCTGAGCTGCTGTGTTTAATTTCCCTTGGGCAAGAGGACATGTACTATGATAACAATTGTTTTTCCCTTTCCATTGTCTATAATATGAGGGAATCTCTTCAGAAGATAGTTTGGGTGCTCCAATTTCCTAATGTCCTTTGTAGGCCCTAAACTGAATTTAAAAAAAAGAAAAAGAAAATCCATCAAGCAACCTTCTTGCAATACCGACATGAGAAGACCCCAGGAGCAAGACAAAAATTTTAAGTTAATGTTATGTTTAAATTGAATTACAAGGACATTTAATTCAACACAACTCCTATGATTACTCCCTCTCTATTATTTAATAACTGCCATAGCAGCCATCAGCACCTACTGGTAGCTAACTTACGATTTGACAAAGCAGGTTTGGCTCTGGTTAGCTTTCATATGGGAGACCAGTTGAAAAATCTAGTGCTGTGGGAGGTTGAAAAACCATGCTGGAAGATGGTAGAACCATATCACCATTCCTGGGCAATAAAACTGAATGCATATATCCAGTGGTGGGATTCTACCGGTTCGCACCGGTTCGGTAGAACTGGTAGTTAAGCAGTTCGGAGAACCGATTGTTAAAAGAAATCTCCTTTTGTTTTTTTCCACTTTACAGGGTTAATCCTGTAAGGAATTACAACATTCGGTGTTGTTTCCTAGCCTAATCTTTATTGCCCTGCTTACGGAAACTGCCTCTCCGGCAGTATGCCTAGACTTACTGTCGCTTCTGGTTCCGGAGGGGTTTTTTTGCTTGACTTTCTTAAAGGGAAAGGGTTGTTTTAAGCTTTTTACACTGCTGTTGCGAGGAAATACTCCCCTGTTGGAGTTCTTCCAGCCAGGGTGTAATGATCAGCACTTTGAAGAAATAATTGAATAACGAAGCAGAAGCTTTTAATGACAAGGAACCAAGATGAGTGACATTCAGCAATGCTTTTTGGCTAGCTAGAAAGATTGACATTCAAACGTGAGTTTACATACTTTCTGACTTTTGGTCTAAAATTGGTTTTTGGTGATGTTTAATCCTGTGTTTAGTGATGAGATAATTTTCCCTATTCAGCTTTGTTTGGAAGGAAAAATATTAATCTCTGTTCCTGAAAAGTAGCAGCTTCGGAAATCTGACTAGTTCTGTGTCTATTTGTTCTGGTAATTGGTATAACAAGCAACAGATACTCTGTTTGCTCCTTTGCTTCATTCTTAAATGACTCTCTGCTAAAGGGTTTCACTTTATGAGCAAGAATTGGCTGCTGATAGTTATCATTGCATTTTAACTATTTTAATTCTTCAAGGTGCTAATTTGTAACTCCAGTTTGCAGGTATTTAGGGCAGCTTTTTGCAAGCAAAGAAGCTTTTTGTATTTTTGTACAGGTAATCCTTGATTTACAACAGTTACAATGGCACTGAAAAAAGTGACTTATGACCATTTGTCACACTTACGACTATTGCAGCAAACTGTCATTAGGGCAAAGAAACGATGCCATATGACCACCTGGCCACACCCACCTGGTCACATGAAGCATCGCAGTTGTGAAATAAGTGACACGGTTGTTAAGAATGCTGCAACGGGCATAAATGATGACCAGTCATAAGTGCGAGGACCGGTCAAAAGTGCGAGGACCTGTCAGAAATCACTTTTTTCAAGCCCTCTGGGTAGTTCTTTTGTGCATATGGACTATTCAGAGAGCTGAAAAAGTTATTTTGACCGGTCCTCACACTTACGACTGTCCTTACATTTTACGTTTTGCGCCCTATCTTGTCACCATGGTGAAGAGAAGCAGTTGTGAAATGAGTGACATGGTTGTTGAGAATGCTGCAATGGGCATAAATGTGGGGATGGTCATAAGTGTGGGGACCAGTCAAAAGTGCGAGGACCGGTCAGAAATGACTTTTTTCAGCCCTCTGAGTAGTCCCTATAAACATAGCCACGGCCACCCGGTCACATGATCAGCTAGCCATGGCCACTCAGTCACATGACCACCAAGCCGCGCCCACCCAAATAAGCCACACCCACAGAACCGGTTGTTTAAAAAATTGTATCCCACCACTGCATATATCCATGTAAATCACAAAGAGCTGGGGAAGATGGCTTTGCTTTTTGATTTCAGAATGTTCCTCTCATATGAAAAAGTATAATTTGGCAGCATAATTTGGAAGAGATCTGAATATTTCCTCCAAGGCAATTAGTCTGCCTGGAGTCCTGAGGCCCCAGGTTGTGTTCCCCTGTTATTTCTACCAGTCTTGAAGCCAGTTCAAATGTAGTTTACAAATCCATCCTAATCTCTAATCTTATGTGGAATCTTGGGGAAAGATGGATGAGAAACAGGGTGCAAGAACTTCATTTTTCTACCTTTAATGGCTTCTAACTCACCAGGAGAAACCTTGTCTGACTTATCCTATTTTTCCTCACCCAAGGACTCTTTAAAAATTGTGTTTTTTATAGCCATTTAATATCCACTGGAGTTGTTCTACATAACATTATTTTTTTTTAGCATTACCAGCATGAAGGCTTTCCAGAGACAGAACTTCATTCATTCATAGCCCAGTGCAAAGATCTGCCAAACTCTGGAAGATACAGATTAGAAGAGGAGAGTCCTATAAATATCTTCTGCTGTTGTAAAAGGTTAGTGATTAAAGGACTGGGTGACAACTGCATCATCTGATAGCTTGTGTGTTTTTTTTCCTTTTTCTTTGATGTTATATTCCATCCTGGGTACAAAGCTGAAGTTGGCTGCTGTGAGAACAGAAAGCAGGTTAACAGGACATCAGTCTTGAATCTAGTGAAACTATAGGCACTTCCTAAGCTTAGGTTTGAAAGCTGCTCTGGATTCCCATGATCCCTCAGTATCAAGTCACATTAGAAAGCTGAGCTACTTTATTTCCAGCTTTGGTAAATGGAAGAGATTTTTTTCCAAAACATTCTGCTTTCATTTCCCCATTTGAGGAGTTCATGCCATAACTTTTCTGGCTCTTGAGCAAATAGAGGAAATGCTGACATGCCAGCTCTGCAACTCCTCTCAGGTGCCTAGAGGAATGGAGCAGGAGTTCAATCAAATGGGATGTTTTTTTCAGATGCTTCCTTTTCAGCTCTAAATCTGTTGGTTTGAATAGTTTTGCTAGGGTACTAGTTATTTTCTCTTTTCATCTTTTCTTTTCATCTTTCCCTTTTTAGTGTAACAAGGATGATGGGACTTTCTTTTCTTGGAGCAGGATAGATAGAAGAAAGATAGATAGATAGATAGATAGATAGATAGATAGATAGATAGATAGATAGATAGATAGATAAGAGAGAGAGAGAGAGACAGAGAGAGATGCTTTTTTCAGCATTGCAAATTGTCAGAAGTGAAAGCAATTATTGATTTATTTTAAACTGTTTCTGAAGGCTTGAGAAATAAAGATACCAGTGGACCTTTTAAATAATGGTGCATAAGATAACTTAGGTATTAGTTATATTTTTTTAAAGTGAGCAGTTGTGATTATCCCCATTAATTGTTTATTTTTTTAACATTAAGATTTCTAACCTTGCCCTTCTTATTCATCATGACTTGTTTTATTAAAATTATTTTCTTTAGATCAATAGATCTTGTTTGATTTATAAAATGGGACCATTTTGATTTCTTTCTGTTTATCATATGTTTTGTGTAGCTGGATAACATATCTCTGCATCTTTTCCCCTTCTTTAGGTCTTAATAAAAATATTGGCAATAATTGCTGAAATTAGTTGGAGATTCTGGAGCTGGACAATCATCACAGATTCACTGAGAAATAATCAAAGAGGAAATTCAAATATAAGAGGCACAAAATTGTCATAAATGTTTTTGGAATATGTGCTGGTAATCATGTTAATTCTAATTTATAAATTGAGTCATAATTACCATATAATGGACAGCTTAAATTTGTTATGAAAAACAGTGGAAAACTAAAATTATATTGTGATGTTACAGGCACAATGTATGAATAACTTACATGAATTAATCACACAAGATTTTCTCAGTTTTCTATAGGTATCTGTAGATTATCTGAAAAGTAAAAGAGAGCAAATGGTTTCAGTATTTTCTCTCCGTGTGATTTGACACAGGTCACAAAAGTCCTTTAGTGACCACAGAAAATAAAACTATAAAAATGGTTCATACCCTTTCCTTGCACAACACTGAATTGAAGGAGATTGATAGTGGAGAACCAAGAGTGGATTTTGGTTCCCCATCAAATTACATTTTTTTCCTGATGTGTTCCACAACTTGATAACTTTTAGATTTAGAGTTCTCAAGTTTAATTGTTTGTTGAATCTGTTGAATTTGTGAATGTTAGTTCTTCAGCCAACATAAAGATGGTTGGCCTCGTTATTTATTCTAATTATTCTGTGAAAGAACTCCTATTTGGAACTTAAACAGCCTCTTATCCATTGCTTTCATGTCTAAGGCAGGACTAGAATTCACAGGCTTCTGGTTTCTACCTGGTGCCTTAACCACTATTAATGCCCTGGGTACTCTATACCAGAAAAACATTCTTAAACTTAATATTTTACTATTTTAAGAAATGCACAGCCATGTTTTAAATAAGTTAGCTAGTAGCAAACTGACCTTAAAAAGGGAAAGATCATACCTCGTATCAGAAAAAGTTATTTTCCTTTATGCAAAATCTTATCTTTACTGTTCAACATCATTTAGGACCCAAATTGGTCTTCCAAGGATTTAATCTGAAACACTAGGATGAATGAGAATATATCAGCAAAAAAAAAAAAAAAAAACCATTGGCCAGGGCAATCTTAGTCAACATACTCTAACATTGGAAGCATAGACATTTCTAAAATCATGCTGGCAACAGATCTGTAGATTGGAAGTGAGGGAACAGAGATATTTGCAAAAAGATTATTGTCCTGCTCGGAAGAATGGAAGAGAATGTATGTCCATTCCAAGACAGTATAGGTAGTCCTCAATTTACAACCACAATTGAGTCCAAAATTTATGTTGCTAAGTGAGAAATTTGTTAAGTGAGTTTTGTCCCATTTTACAACTTTTTTCGCCCCATTTGTTAAGTGAATCCCTGCAGCTGTTAAATTAGTAACACACTTGTTAAGTGAATCTGTTTCCCTGTTGATTTTGCTTGTCAGAAGGTCGCAAAAGGGGATCACATGATCCTGGGACACTGCAACCATCATAAATGTGAGCCAGTTGTCAAGCATGGCCCTTCCCTGAGCCTGCCTCCTTCTGGTTCTTTCTGAAGTCAGGGTTCATTAACATCAGAATCTGACTGAGTCTTGAAGAGTTCTCACATCAAGGCCAGATTCTTTTCCTTAGAGGGAAAATCCTATGGTTTCAAAATCCCCTAGCTCAGGGGTGTCAAACTCGCGATGACACGTTATCGTCACGTGATGTATTACAACTTTTCTCCCTTTCGCTAAACCAGGGAAGGGCGTGGCCAGCGTGTGATGCATCCAGCCCACGGGCCACAAGTTTGACACCACTGCCCTAGATCATAGGGTTAAAACTTAAGCTTTGTACTGGTTTAATCTCTTTCTAAAATTACTTATAGGAAAGAAGAAACTTGCAGTGTTTGCTCCTAAGAAACAGTTTCACTAGGAGTAGACTTTCATGACAAGTATTTGTTAGACAGTATTGGGCTTTGGCATTTAGTGGCTGTGCTCTAGACAAGAGGTCTCCAACTTTGGCAACTTTAAGACTTGTGGACTTCAACTCCCATAATTCCTCAGCCAGCTGGCTGAGGAATTATGGGAGTTGAAGTCCACAAGTCTTAAAGTTGCCAAGGTTGGAGACCCCTGCTCTAGACCACAAATTTCCTAACATTTTACTGTAGCTGGCAGATGATCTGCAGACCACAGGCAACAAAACAGGAAATGACTGGGCTTCTATCTTTATAGGCAGGTGTCCTGACTTTTGATTAACCAACTGCTCAACAGTTTCCCTAGGAACTGGAAAAGACATATTTGAGCAAAGTTTCAGAAACAAATATAGACAACAAATTATTTAAATGCAACTAAATAATATTTTAATCCAGTTACAGCCAACTTTAATGGGTATTGTCTTATCTTTAATATGTTATCCTAGTTTTGGCAAAGGCCACAGGAGAGGCTGTTACTGGAAGGACCAAGCTGGGATTTTCATCCTTTCAAGGAGTTTTCTGAAGTAATTTTTTTCAAAAAAGTAAAAATGATACATCAAACTATTGAAGACAAACATATCTCTTTTAATTATTACCTCTCATGCCCCCCCCCCCCCCGGAAAGTTTTATGGCTGTCATTCAGTGCTTTATTGCTTGATTTAGCATAGCAATCTTAGAGGGCTCCAGGGCTTGAAAAAAATACCTGTGGAGACCACCTGTGATCCACAGGTTTCCTACCGCGTCAGTCATTAAAGTTCAGTACCGACTTTTATTTGATGCTCTTCCAATTACAGTAGATGGAAATAATTGGATTGACACATTTGAATTCTTTGGTCTATTCTTAGATAAAAAGAGATCATTCAGTCATAGAGAACTGAATATTTTATTAGAGTACATAATAAATGCATCATCAGTGCAATGTGTTTCTCAAATCTTTACATTAAGTAAATGCTATCTGCTTGCAGTAGAGCAAGAATGGGCATAACATGAAATATGCTTAATTATAGTTCTTAATTTTTCCCTGTCTTAGAACTGTTAAATAATTGTATAAACATCTTGAAATGAAACTTGACTTTTATGGATGTCATGTTATATTGAAAAGCAAATCTGAAAAATGAAGAAAACCTATTTTTAGACTCAAATTTTCAGATGCAGAAGCAATAATTACAGCACAAACTGCTGACAAAAGACAAAAGAAGATATTATAATGTACTATGTACAAACTTTTGAAAGTATAAAACATGTTGGCTGTTCTCATTTTGTAAAATGATACTGTAGAAAATAATATATTATTTTGAATGTATGTCCGAATATTATATTGAATGGTACATAATATTAACACTACAAATAAATATTTCTTTATCCAGTAATGTCTTTGTGTAATTTAAAAAATGATTTCATATTGTAGTGGTATGATTTCATATTGTACCAATATGAAATATATATATATATATATATCTGAGTTGGGGTCTAGAGGAAACTCCCAAAGGAAGGAGAATATAAAGTTGTAGAGTTGTATGATTGGAAACAATATTTTGTTCTGCTTTACTTAAAAGTCTTTTTATTAAGTATCTATATCCTACCTTAAGAAATCAACAGTAGTGAATAAATATGGCACATTGTGTGATGGTATTATGAAATACAAATAAAATTGAGTTGTATTTTTCCCAATTCTAATTGGGCTGAGTGAAAGTCTTGTCAAATCCAACCAGGCAATATTGAAGCTCAAAACTTAAATGTTAAAAGTAGCTTCCCCTTAAAGGTTTACCTAGTAAAGTTGGTAAGAGGGAAGGCTAAAATTAACATTTCTGAGCCAGAAACAACCATCTTCAGTTATTATTATGCAGGCAAACTATATATGTAGGCTATATCCACCTCTAATTAAGTTCTCTTGTTGCTTTTTAGTGGCCTGTTTAATACAGAAAAAGACTTTGTGCAGGACTAAAGTGCACAATTCAGTCTGAACATATTTCTTCAGTCTATTAAAGACCATTGCTATGTTTACCTCACGTTGAATTTGCCTATGGACATAGTTATGGCTATAAATCTACCACCACCATTATCTATCCGAAAGCTGTCAATTCCATATAGAGTTGAATTATACTGGATCTCACAGCCTAAGAATTGTCCTCATTAACCATACTAACCTGGTGGTCAATGGTTCTGCTATTCAACCTGTCTCTTGCCCCTTCCTGTCCTAAAGTTGCATGGAGGTTTACTGTATAATGAAACCTGACAAATCTTGGATACAATTGAAGAGATTCAGATGACACTTAGAAAAGGAAAGTGCCTGTAATGATAAGATAGATACATAGATAGATGATCTCTATGCATAGGGCTTCTACTTGTAGTGGAAGTCAGATAGTAATCAGATGGAGGAGTAATTCCAGGGCATGGGATGTATTTAAAAACTAGGAGAAATAAAAACAAGCCTGCTAATCCCCTTTTCCATCCATTGTTGTGTAAGAAGCTTTCCAAATTTGAGAATATAAGGGCAAGGACTTATCAGACAAATTCTGGAGCTTTTGAGCCAGACAGCATCAAAATGTCTTTTGTGATGGGACAGTCTTTCCTGGCTGGCTTCTTCCTTTCTTTTGCTCCGCTCTTCCACTGCCTCATAAGGACATCCTGTGCTTTAAGAACCATATTTAGGCTGCAAATATCCAGAGGACTATTTGGTAGTGGCAAACAACTTGGGTTTTCTATAACTCTTGTGATGCCTTGTGGTGATCTGGGATTTTTGCAGCCAATATATCCATGTAATCAAATTTGTTGAAGGCACAGCAAGAGGAGAGGTTTGTGATTTTCAGGGCAGCTGCTTGTTCTGCAGTCACTATGCATATGTACACTTCTGACTTCTTCACATCCACTACTATCACTGTCCAAATCCCATGAACCAGTTTTAAAATCACAATTATTCTCACTCTAGTTACCAAAAACTCTAAATTGGAAAAGAGCAGTCTTTTTACAGGGAGCAAAATCATCCCCACCCTTACTTTTTTTAAGATTAGGCAAGCTGGTCTGCAAACATCCACATGGCAGGACAAAATAGTCTCCACGTTTCTCTGCTATCATCTTGTTGGAAGAAACATCCTTCTGGGTTCTGCTCCAAGTGGGGAAACCAGACACTGGAAACATGGAGACTGCTTGGAAAGATGGTTTAATGGTGGACAGGATCACATGGCTTGAGTTCCTGAACAGAAAAGGGGCAGATACAGTAAATCCTCGGGTTTTTATGCTCTCTCTGGCTCTGCATTTCTTGGGGCCACAAAAGAGTATCCTGATTGGTTGTCAGACTCCCAGGGGGTGGGGGTCTTGCTGGCTGATGCAATCTTCCCAGGTGCCATGTGGTGAGCCTCGTCTA